GGCGGAGCTCCCGGCCCCAGCCACCCAGGACGAACGGCCCCGAGCTCTGACGTCGGGCGGCCCCAGTCACGGCGCTGCGTGCCCGTCAGCCAGGATTATCCGGCCCACGCCACCGCCTCACCGCCCCCAGGAGCCAGGTTCTTCGCCCGCCGCCCCTCCCCTCCCAGCGCCCGCCCGGGTCTCTGCCTGACTTCCAGGGAGCTGCGCATTAGGGAGCCCCAGTTTTGCCCTCAGCTTGTACTTGAGCGGTGTCACCGGCCTGAAGTCAGAATGAATCGGCTCCCTAACACCTCCAGATTTGTAAAGGTGAACAATTTATTAGGTGACCTAACCTAAAAACTTAACTGGAGAACGCTGCTGGTAATAAACAGAAAGAAATAGAATCCAACATTTATTTAACTGTCTTGGATTTTTGGCGTGAGTAAAACTACAACCCAATAAAAGCAAATGTCACCATTAAAGTTAACTGACTACATGTATCAGGTATGTTGCAGGAACAAAGTTACTATATTAAGCAATTCCTCTGCAAAACAGAATTGTGCTGTCAAAAATAGTCAAACAATATAAACCGGATATTAGCTATATTTATGTAGTACATAAATCACTTAATCATTCTGAGATTTAAGAAAAGAAAACCCCTCTGTATTAGTCACATTACGCAAATTGTATGAGACTGTGCAGTGTAGCTGCACTCACCTTCCTCCCCTTTCACACCAACAGCAGCCATTTTCAGACTGACACATTTCTTCAGGGTCCAGGGCAGGATTACTCTTCTATTGACCCACAGAATGGAACAGGCACAAGAACTTCAACAAATAAAACATCTATCCCTAACAAGCACAGAAGAGGGAGAAAAAGGCTGAGGAAATGCCATCTGAGGTAGAACAGGGCTGCTGATAAAGCTCTGGTGACCTGTCAGAAAGGCAGAACCACTTATCTGAAACAAAATTCACCTGGAGTACTAAACAGGAATTGTTTCCCCCATGCCTCAAACATGCCTGAGATTTCAAGCATTTTCAATTCTGCTTTAGCATAAAACCCATGGTGTAAGAAGTTGCCATATCTGAATTCCAGTGCAGACATGGATGTCTTGATTAGGTCTTGAAGGATGAAATAATAAATGGGTCAATCTTTCATCCCTTTCTCTAACTGAACTGCATCTTCATTATAATTAACAATAATAATAAATAATATGCCTTTTTTTAAAAAAAAATGAAAATGTTACAGTCCTAGTGATGTTAAAAGTTGAGATAATGCAAATTCTTCAAAGTTTTCCTCGCAGCATTAAAATGACCTTGAAATCTCTGTATAAAGCACACTCCTATATGGGATGTTACCTTCAGTGCTTTCGGGGTGGCTTTTTTTTTTTTTGGTCTTAAAAAAAGAAAATTTGTGAGGTCTATGGACTGTGTACAGAGCAACGGGCAATACAGACTGGGATGGGAAGAATCCATAACTTGGTCACAAAGATTTATATGGCTCCAAAAGAAAAGGAACTTTTCAATCACTTCCCTAATTGGTAAGATACTATGAAGAATCCGCAACTAGTATTTGATCAGAATTTGACCAAACCATTTTGTGGGATCATTTTAGTGAGTTCTGTTTTCTACATCCACTAGGATTTCTCACTGTAAAAACCTGTGAAAATACACCAGGAAAAGAACTACATTTTGAAAGGTCTTTCATTTCTGCATCAAAAATTCAACAAACATTTTAAGTAATTCAGACACAAATGTGGTTCTAACTGACATTAAAGATGAGCCTCAGTCCTGGTTTCCAGTGCAGAATTCAACCTACATTATTTAAATCAACATGTAGACAGAAAACTCAGAGATTGCACACAGGTTTTTTATGGAAATAGAGACTTTATACTGTTTGTTAAAAAAAGAAAAGGTTCTTGATTTTTATAGTTCACTGCCCTGTGGTAATCATAGACAAATACTTGAGACTCTAATCCTATTACAATCTCTGCAAATTAGTGGGAATCTAAATTGGTGCCCTGGATACTTGTACAGTCAGAATCTTCCTGACTGCAGCCCATGTCCTAAAGTTCTGACCATATGGGCACTGACTTTACCATACAAGCTCCTCCATGATTCTACTTCCAAAGTTCATCAAGACAGGAGACCTAGAGAGTACAATTAACTTTACACTTCCTTCTCCTGACTGTCCAACAGCACTCTCTGAGGTTCTCTGAATTTTCCAGACCATTCTCCCAGAGTCTTTGTAACATTGATTTATAAAACGAATGTACTTTTTTTAAGAAACATCATGCCAAGTATTTGATGTAGAATTTGCATTTTACAAATTAGATTTCCTTTAAAATAATGACCAGGAAACATTCTGAGGAAAATCTTGCCTTAACCTTATGGAAATGCACTGTAAATATTGAGGCAGGAGAGAAGAATGATGCCAGGCATTCTTCCTGTTTTACATATACCTTGTAGCCAAAGGGCAGAATGGCTTAGGGAAAAGTGGCACAATGTACTTTACTTTCCATCAAAAGGCAAATATGCCTGAAGCAGTGAGAGCTCTTGACTGCCGCATACCCAATAGCTGGCTTGAAAGGTGCTGCAAGTCCTCTGGGATCTTTTACTATAAATAACTGCAAATATATATCAATAACAGAATATACCCCCTCCGGAGCCAGCTGCTGCGTATGTCATCCGGTACACCTGACGACAGTGTTCTCAAGCACTAGTTTATAAACTTTCAGGAAGGGTTCTGCCCTGCTGCTTTTCCAGCTAAATGAAGCTCTTTCTACACTGTTTACTTCCCACTCATGATTCTACAAGTGTCTTGGCACACAGCTCTGCAGGATCTAGCCCAAAGTGACAAGATAGTCCCTGTGCTATTTTAGATGGTTTGTAGATTGTCACTTTTTATAACAACACTTGTAGCTCCATTTTCTCAAATGCAAGTATAAGTGATAATCCTTTCCTGTATAATTTTGCAAACTAACCTAAATTATTCAGAAGTACAGCTGCTGTTGTCTAATCCTTGCTAGCTCTTTATGCAGCTTTCTTACTGTACATCACAATTTTTTCTTGAAATCTAGCAGTCAAATGAGTGCAAGAAACACCTTCTGTCACGCTAAGAGCAGAAAAACTGATGACATTTCCTATATCTTTCAGTATTTTATAACAATTACTTTCCAGTTTATTTCAACTAGCTGGAAGAGATTTTTCTGCTGTTAGACAGAGAAGTGTGCTATATACAAGTCCAAGAAGGTTACAATCAATGATTTAATCTATGTAAATGGACATACTTCTTATGCAGTCAGAAACACCTCCTACATAATTTATAATCAAATTAAATGAGATACACATACATACAAAAACCTGAAATCTGAGGTGCGTTGAAATCAAACAATACAGTAACAATAAATTCTCACTGAATAACACTCTAATGGTATATCCTGTCTTCCCTGGCTGGTGCCTTACTACTGATGAAATTAATTACATTATTAATAATCTCAGTAAACTGCTTGAAAAGCTTTTCTTAAAAATCCTAAATTTTCACAGGATAAAATTTTTCCATTGATCAGAATTTTGACTTATGTGACAGACATAGAAAGAGTCATTTCACTTTTTTTAAAATAATTACTTTTGTAAATTACTTCATACTACTCTCTAAATATCCATTTTTCTCAAAACTATGCTTCATCCCTATAAATGCCTTAATAAAATGTCTGTGTGAGAATCAGATTGCTGATTTTGCATTCAATACATAAAACACGAGCGCATATATGCCTGACACTAAATCTTAGTAAACCTTGCTTAGAGTATTTTTCAGTTATTTGTCTACATGCAGTAAACAGAAATAATCAATTCATTCTTGCTTGTATTTCTTATTTATAAGCATCATTCTCCAAAACTTCAGTATCTTTTGTTTTGGTCATCATATTTCTCTGTGTTTCAGAATGCCAAACTATTTTCACCACAGCAGAACTAATCAGAACACAATTTACATTGTCAAAATTTGCAGATTTGGCAAAGAAAACATATCATCTGATGCAATTTTGCCCAGGTTCCAGCAGAAGCCAGTCAGGTTTCTGGTGAGCTTCTCAGCATCCTGCCTAAAAGGCTGTTGAGAAACCCAGTCTTCCAGATTCCGAAGTTCTGGGAAGCACATCATGTGGACTGCAGCCCTATGGCCTGGGATGTTAAGGCTTCCAGGGGTCTGGAGCAGACAACTGCTACAAAACCAGGGAGCCCACATCTGCCAAGGTGAATAGATCTGAAAGCCAGGGACGGATGGACCTAGATCCAGTGTAATGCTCTTCCATAGAGATTTTCTAGATTTGAGAGGGGATTGCTCCTAAGTGGTACAATCCAAATTTTTCCATATCACACATCAGCACATTAACAAAAAGGTACAACAGATTTATATAGAGTATTCTTTGAAGATAACGTCTGTTTAAATAACTATGAACAGTGTGACAGTACCAAACACTGGTGTCTGTGCTCATTTGAGGTGTCTTATACTGTACATCAGAATTAGCATGTGTGTCAGATCAACAATTTATATAAGAAATATTCTGGTTTAGTGAGTAACACAGAATAATATACTACCCACAAAGACAGAAACCACCTTTAAAGTTTTAAGTAATTATCTTATGTTCATCTTTGAAAATTAAAGAACCTCTTGAGTGATGCTAGCCTAAACTAATATTTTAATTTAGCTGACTTCCACTTCAAGCTCTTATATGTTAAAAATACTCAAGAATATTATCGCTGGCAATTTAGAAAGCGAAGCTTATGGCTACAATCAGGGCATACAAAACACTTATACAAGGGAACACAGAGAAAATATTCCTGTTTCCACACCCCAAGGAGTCAGTAAGGAATGATGCCTCCAAGAAGGAGTCATCACTTTCCTTCATGTTATACAAGGGTGTGGTGAGACAAGGTGAAGGCAGGCAGTCTACCTCTTATTTAATTCTACTGTAAATATTGTTGAGGCAGCGGATCGCCTGCTTTCCTTAAAATAAAGTTTAAATTTTCAATTTTGTCCTGCCTTCACAACCCTTTCTTAGAACAGCTGCTGACTCATGTGAATGTGGAATATCTAAAATGCTGCAGGGGTCAGCTCAGATTTTCTCACCATACCTTGATGTAAGCAACAGTAAATGACAAAAGTAAAAAAGGAGCAAGCACTACCTTTTATCTGTCACACCCTTTCTTTCCCAGCTCTAGTCTTTTGATCACCTTCCTCTGTAGCATTCTGTGCAATCTGGCCTCCATTTACTTTTCTGTCTCTCTTTTCACCTCTATTTGAGAAACAGCAGCCTAAAAGGGTAACAGACAGTGAGTTAAAGTGGGTTAACTTAAATGTTTTTAACATGCATCTTCTATTCCACAGTCTCTTAATTAAATAAATAATTAGAACCAATTTTGAAAAAAAAAAAAAAAAAAAAAAGTGCATTTCTGGTACCTGTGTCATTTCCAAAAAACAAGTAAAAAAGTAGCAATAGTTTATCTTTGTTACTATCTGTATTTATCTTTGTTACTATCTTTGTTACTGACACTCAATACGCAGCACAGAACTGCATTTGATTCTTACATGATAGTATCTTTTAATATAGTCACACTTCAAATTTAACAGATTCTAAGGATATAGAAGGGCGGTTGTTTGAGGTTGTTTTGGGTTGTTTTTAAAGCAAAAATAATTTTTGGTGGACAACAAGGTCCTATGGTATACTACCATACATCTCATAAACATAAAACCTTAACCAATGGAATGTAACAAAAATGGACATACACTCAAGTATGAACATTTCTAGTTTCCCAATGTAAAAAAAATGTGTTACTACTTTTATGAAGGTTCTCAGTTCACACATCAACTGTCCTTCATTCTTCACTGGGTATTATTTAGGTGAATTACATCAGTCTAAGCTTATGAGATAACAACCAATCTCATGTTATTTAGGAAGGTTTGATGTGACTGACAATGGGAAGAATTAATACTCTTTGTATATTAGAATATATAAGATCGAGTATTTCTAGAACAATGTATGTCATGTTAACAAACAGCTTGAAATGGTTGGGTATCTTAAAACATGCTATAAAAACACCAGAATCATTACCACATCAGAAGTGTTTAAATCAAACTTGCCTTTCAGTGAAATGAATTTTAACTCCCATTGAATTTGTTAATTAATAGGCATATTAATAATAATTAATATCTGTGAAATCTGACCTGATGCCTCAGGTAAGACAAAATTGTAGCTACACAATGCTATATGAAACTTAACTACCACAACAGAATCCTACTTTTTGCCCCTTAAGCCCTCACTGGCCAAACAACAAAGCCTATGTTTTCAAACATCATCCAACTATGGGGCATTCAATAGGCTAGTTTGCACCAGAAAATTACATCTATTGAAGTACCTCAAAACATGATATACAAAATAAGGTGCTAAGAATGTTGTTTGGTTGTTTGGGGTTTTTTAATTATACACTATACATTTATATTTTAAAGTATATTTATAGTGTATAGAGAGATCAGTTACTAGATAACGTTTTCTATTCTACACACAGTATGCTTGCTATGTAATGTAGTTAACATAATTACATAGTACTTATATTACATATGATATACTCTATATACTAGGTTGCACCCTAAGAGATGAACAGTTATCAAAAAAGAAGTTTAAAAAATAAGGAAAAGTATTTTTAAAGAATTTCTCTTCTGTTTACCATTCGTCATCAATATAAATGACACACAAGACCCTGTGGACACATCAAATGGGTATAAAACTTTCAAGAATCCACTATTTCTGCATCACAATTTAAAGTCCTGAACACTATAAAGCAACTCAACCAGTACTGAAAAGCCTTCATCTATTCTTTCATATGTGCACATTTAGAGCTGTCCAGTTTTCAGAGGCAATATACTTCTAAGCAGATGAAGAAGAAACTAGGCAGCTGACTAGCTAAAACCAGAACACAACCTAAAGTATTGTGCCACATGCCTCCAGATTTTTTTAATGAACCAAACTCTACTTTTTTGCTTCCTGAATCTGATATTGTAATTGACAATAACTACAATACCTTCTCAAAACATAAAATTCATCAACTACCAGCTCACTGCTAATAAACTCATATAAAACAACTTATTAAGACATAACCTTTAAGTCTGTGAGCAAAAAATATGCAAACACACAACACATCTATAAAGCTAGATGAAGCATTAGGATTACTGCATCTTTGACTGAAGCAAAGCATATGGTGGTATAATGGAGCATGAATTTACAGCAACAGAGATGTACGATATAGATTAAAACTTCATCTGTGAGAACATACTGCACAGCAAAAAAAACAACTATTTTTGTGTTTTCGGGTTTATGGCATGAAGAACAAATACTCTTTTGTAGAACTAGGGCTCCCTCTGCTGCTAACATGGAAGTAGAGACCAAAACCTTCCTTAAACTCCATTAAAAACGTGCTCCTGAAATAGACCCAGATTTTAAATTTCTCAAGGTATAAACATGCTTGTCAGGCTATCTGGATGGACAAAAGGTTCTCAGGTAGGACTGATAGGCTCATGTTACCCATTTGGAGCATGCAGCATGGAATAGTCCAAGGAAAATTAATTCCACTC